TCACATTAGGCTACTACCATTTCTCTCCAAAATCCCTAGAAACATAGCAACAGGAGTAAAATAAGTGAAAAAACACCTTATTATGTGTTAAAACATTGTACCTTTTATCTTATCCTGGACTGTCCACAGTTTGAATGATGTATAATAAATGTTTTTTATTACAGCCTAGTTTATAAATTTTCTATAACTTTTAGACAAATGTGTGTTCAATGGCATTTCTTTCCTTTTATTCCCAGTATTGTCCTCAATCATTTTGCCATCACTGAAAATCACCGAGCACCTACTAGCGCATCTCAGTATTCTCCTACATCATGCCACATAATCATCTACGTGGCTGCTGTCATTGACAGCTTGCTGTTTGGGTAAAGGCACTTTACAGATAACTCCACTCTAGGTCCTCAAAAATAAATACTTGGGTAGTAAACATTTGAGGTCATGTATAATGATCAGGTATACAAAGAGAAGTCTTGTGGAGGTCTAATCACCTCAATTTTCTAGAAAGGTTTCAGTGACTTACCTGGGGGCCTTCTGGGTCTCTCTCGCCGATATGATTAATTGCTTCATAGGACACGTAGACTTTGAAAATAAGGCTACTATTCAACCACAATAAATCCCAAACAACAATAACTCATGTACATTAATGTAGTACATTCCTGATTTGTATTCCACCTTGCTTATATTCAATTGCTTTGTCCCTAATTCATTATAAGAGTCAGTGGGCACCTTTAAGTATTTATTAACAGTCATCTGATTGTTATGGTAAAAGCCTAAAAAAACTTGGTTATATGCTTTTCTTACAAAAAATGACCTAATTTTGTTGAGGAATCTGCTTATCAATGGAGTCCCCTAAAAATGCCCAAATTAAGTATAAATTTTTTTCTCTCTCCAATTTAAAGGAACCTTCTACATTGCAACATGTTACTCTAAGACTTAAAATTCATTTGGCTCTCCCTAGCATCTTTTCTAACCCTCAGATAACTCCTCTCTCAAGCTACACTTCTCTCCAAGGTACAGGTGACCTTCTTTCTCAAGGACCATGCATGGTCCCTTTCCCTCCCAAGGCATAACCCACAAGGAGCAGCTGGGAAGGGGACCTCTTGCCTCAATCCCATTCATTCATTCATTCAACAAGTAATTGCTGAGTGCTCACTCTGCCCCGGCCCTGTGCTAGCCTCTGCAGCCACGAGAGTGGCCAATAAAAAAACAATAATAATTTACCCCATTGAACATACCTGCTCAACATTAATCAAATGTTCACACTAAGAAGTGTAGAATTGCAAAGCGATAGGCTCTGAAGTAAAGATAAGGGTCCTATACGGGAAATAATGAACATAGACTGGGGCTGAGGCAAGGCTTCCCTGACGAAATGTGGCTTGGGCTGAACTCTGATAAGCCAGGAGGAAACACCCAGGCAAAGAAGGAAAGGTGGTCCTAGACATCAGGAGGCCCTGGGGACTGCAGAGCAGGGTGGGGCAGACTGCCAGGGTGGAGCGGCTGCTGAGATGGGGACTGCCGTGTTGGCCCAAGGCCTCATTCACTCAGGGCTCATGTCCCCAGAGCAGTGGGAAGTAGCCGGAGTGTTTAAGCTGGGGTCTAATGTCAGATCTGGGTTATGGCAAGAAACCGTCCACTGCTGGGAAGACGGCATGTAGCAGGTGGCGCCAGAGCAGAGGGGAGTTAGAATGGGGCCCAGGTCCCAGGAGTCCAGGCGCAGGCCCCTGAGGCCAGGAAGGCCTGGCCACTCTCATTTATTGAGGATCCCAGTATATGATGATATTAAGAAACAATAAAAGAGGATCATAAAAATTAGTTTATTTTAATGTTTACATTTTTAAAAACCTAACATTTGGCCTCAAAAAATACAATGCCATACAAGTATGGTTTTTGCAGAATAACTCTTAAGATTTATTTTTTAATTAATTCATAGGGCCCTACAAGCAGTGTGGTCTGGTTATAGATCTCAAGAGTTTTTTTGTTGTGTTTGTTTGTTTGTTTATTTTTGAGACAGAGTCTCGCTCTGTTGCCAGGGCTAGAGTGCTGTGGCATCAGCCTAGTTCACAGCAACCTCAAACTTCTGGGCTCCAGTGATTGTCCTGCTTCAGCCTCCCGAGTAACTGGGACTACAGGCATGTACCACTACACTGGTTGATGTTCTTCTATTTTTACTAGAGAAAGGATCTCACTCTTGCTCAGGCTGGTCTTGAACTCCTGACTTCAAGCAATTCTCCCCATCGGCCTCCCAGAGTGCTAAGATTACAGGGGTAAGTCACCTTGCCCAGCTCAGATCTCGAGTTTAAATGCAAAAAAAAAAAAAAAAGAAAAGAAATGTGATGAACATATTTTAATCTAGTCACTGTATCTCTAGAACTAATGTATAACCTTACTTGGCAACAATGCCAAAGTCTAAATTTAGGCCTCTTTGTAAATGGCTCTCCTAATTATATATTGTGATTGGGTTTAGTCTGGATGAGAGATGAGAGATGGAGGAGTTGTTTGGGGGCCCAAGGGACCATTGCAATGAAGATAAGTGAACTGATCTCAAAGAGTCCACCACTTGGACAGGTCGTTCACTGCTCAAGGCCAAGAGGATGGGTAGGAGTTGAGGTTCAGCCAGAGCCTTGCTGCTTGCCACTCATTGAGTCTGGGCACAGAGCTGAATCCACTGGAGGATGGGGTATATTCTTCTAACTTGCATAGAGCTGCATGTATGCCTGCAGTGGCCCCCATGAGAGAGACAGTGAGGAGATAACATTGGAGGATGTGGTCTTAAATGAGGTGAAGGAATGGCAGGATCAATGTCTTACCTCTCACTTCTTTTCCTCTCCACCCCTTCCTGACACAAACCAATATGTGAAGCAGCTGGAAATTCCAGCTTTTATCCCCACTGTCCATTCCACTCCATCCTATGCATCTATACTGCTCAGTTCCTTCCGCCCACGTCCCTCTGCTCTGAGAAGCTGCCTCTGCTCACCAGAGAATCTTAGACCTCAAGAAAGCTTAGAGGTTTAAGAGGCTGAGGGCAACTCCTGAACACCATATACTGCAAATATTTTGTGGCCTGAGAGCCTTCTTTCTTATCTAGGAAGTTGTGAGATAGAGATGATCATAGAAAACCTTCCAAAACAAATGAACCAAAAGCATCCAGACACCTAACCCAGGGGTTACAACTAGCCCCTCTTCCCAGGGCCACCTGTTTGCGCACCACCAAGGATGTCTTGCTTGTTGTTGCTGATATAAAGGACACCTTTGTCCAGTGTGACCACTTGTCCCCTGCTTCCATTTGCCAGAGGCCAGAGCTATCATTTGTAGTCCCTGAAGGTGGGCATGAGAGGAAAGCAGAAGCCTAGGTTGGGAAATGCCCGGATGTGGGCAGTGTCCTTGTTTCGCATCAGGATTTGGCTTTCTGCCACCTTCCCACAGGTGTGAAACCCTAGGGCAAACCCCTCACGTCTCTGGAGGAGGAGAAGGAGAGACAAGCTCCGGGAGCTGATGCTCTAGCCTACTGAGCTTGGACCACTTGCTTACAAGTCTGAGAAAGGGAAAAGTTCAGGCAGAAATAGTTGTATTTAATCAAAGAATCAAACCTCTTCTAGGCCACTTTAAGCTCTATAACTACTATTACTTAACATTGCATTTATGCTGTGACCTGCCCTTTGCATACATGTGACAGAGAAGCAGGTTGCTGAATCCAATATCTGCTCTCCCCACTTTCAGTAATAGAAGCCCCAACTTTTAGGTGGGCACAGAACCACCTGTAAAATGTTTATGAAAAATATTCTACATTTCCCAGTGTTCCATGGAGAGGAATGTGTCCACATGCTTAAGTGGAATTTCAGGGTGGCTCAGGCAGTCTACTACCAGACTTCATTTATGAGGAACAGACATAAACTTATAGCTTATTTAAGGAGCTGATCTTTTTGCTTTGGTTTGTTTTGGGATTTGCTTTGTTTTTTCCTTTTCCTTTTTTCTTTTTTTTAGTAGGAAACCACATCTAAACCTCACTGATAGGCCGGGCAAGGTGGCTCACACCTGTAATCCTAGCACTCTGGGAGGCTGAGGTGGGTGGATTGCTCGAGGTCAGGAGTTCGAAACCAACCTGAGCAAGAGCGAGACCCCGTCTCTACTATAAATAGAAAGAAATTAATTGGCCAACTAATATATATAGAAAAAATTAGCCGGGCATGGTGGCACATGCCTGTAGTCCCAGCTAGTCGGAAGGCCCAGGCAGCAGGATTGCTTGAGCCCAGGAGTTTGAGGTTGCTGTGAGCTAGGCTTACTCCATGGCACTCACTCTAGCCTGGGCAACAAAGTGAGACTTTGTCTTAAAAAAAAAAAAGAAAGAAAGAAAGACACTTCACTGATATAGTGCATTATGATTTCTCATATAATCCTGACAACAACACTCTGAAAGTTAGGTAAACCTCTCAAGCCTTGATTTCCTCATGTTTAAAACACAGATAATAATAGCACCTACTTCACTGGGTTTCTGAGGATTAAATGAAATAATTCCTGTGAAGCTCTGAGCACAGCACCTGGCACACCAGACATGTTTGATAACTATTCTTTATTTTATTAAGGACCTTCTATCTCTGGCTGGATCATCAATTTCTCAAGGACATAGTCCCTGTCTTCAATCCCTCTTATATCTTCCACCACTCAGAACAATCCTAGCCCCACAGTGAGCTCTGAGCACTTAACTGGCGAGAGAACTTTGTGGCTTTGAACACAAACATGCAAGTAAAATTATTACATGCATTTTCAAATTAATTGTTTCTTTCAATGCAGATAACTGATATAGCTTAAGCAATAATGACTTTATTAAGTGGCCGTGGATGCTTATTTAAGGATAGGATTCCTAACTTCTTTTCTTATTTACTTAAAAGGCAGAGGAAATTTGTCTTAAAAGATGGGGTTGACCTATTAAGGTATTGCAAGTTCTAAGCTGTGTTCAGAGACTGCTACTCTCAGAAACTAACTCTGCTTTCCATCTTCCTCTCTAGGTAGACGCTTGATTACTCTTGTTAGCTCAAGGACCATCGTGTGGGCCTGAGATTCATAACTGCAGAGAGCATCGCGGCGTTGCTCTGAACACGTTTAACGCTCGGGCACATCACAGTAAGTCTTAGTTGGTGCTAGCCTAGCGTGGCTCTTGTTTATAAACAACATGATTATTAGTGCTGATTCTACGAGATTGGTTTTCCATTGACCCCAACAGAAACAATGCAAAATATTTACCCTTTTCTAAAGCATAGTAAAACTCCTGTGGTTTTTGAAACCAGACCAAGAACACATGTAGAAAAGCCCGTGGATTATTTTAAGTGAACTTATTTTTTTAATCTCATTAACTTTTCACCATATGCTGTTTATTTTTATATCCTGCATAGGCTGAAAAGTGAAAATAGACCAGGCCACTGTGTTTCATTTCGGGACATCATTACAAGGATGACACACACAACGCTGGGGAGTTCAGGGAAAAACAAAGATGATTAAGGGGCCTTTTAAAGATGAGAAAAGGTTTTTAAAGTTCTATATGTTTCTTAACCAAGCAACCCAGGAGGAAGGCAGGAAAACTGCCTCCCACCACATGGAGTGTTCCCACGGGGGCTTCGCAATCTGTAGAAAGAAAGTGGATTCACATCCCAGCTCCTGTTTACAGGCTGGGCAAGTTTTGGCAATTGACTTGACCTTGCTGTGTACCAGGATGTATGTGAAACGCTAAATATCTGCTTCGTAAGATTTTGCGGGGTTAAGAATTAAAAAAGAGAGTTTATGTAAAGCACTCAACATATTGCCTAGAATTATATAGGTAAGGAAGTTTTGCATGTGTGTGTGTATTTTAATTTCTAAATAGAATAGAGGTCTGCCATGTGACTTCAGGAAGACCAGGTATACTCCACTCAACCCCAAACATTTCTCTAGCTATGTAATTAAAATTTCTCCTTTAAAGATTTTTGGATTTATTCCTTTCTCCAAAGGCTTTAAGCCCCGCCAAAATACAAATTTGATTCTAACGAGTAATACCTTAAGCTTTTATCAGTTATTTTATACCCTCTTATGGATCCGTTCCTGAAAGCCCACCGTGACACGGAAAAGGAGAAGAGAAAGAGGACGTGTGTGCCAGAGAGAAGGTGCAGAGTGACCAAAGTGAACAGGGGCTGTCATGCCAGGGACGAATCTTATTTACTCACCATAGTCCCCGAGGACCAGCCCTGCATCTTAATGGGCTGAAGGTATACAAAGAGAACATACCCTAATATTGAAAAAGGTTTTCTTTCCATCCAAACAGTTCAGTCTGGTGGATCCTTATCCCATTTCCTACTGGCTGGAATCCAGGGTTTGTCACTGTGGATCATGTCACAGGTGAGCCCTGGTAGATGAAGAGGGTACCGAGAAGGAGGGGCAGAGCGTGGGGCTCTTTTCCAGGCACGTCCAAGTTGACACCGTGATTCCATGGCTAGGTAGGACAGTGGATGCTGTGGAGCATTTTGGCTTTGGAGGTGATACTGAAGCACTGTACACCGTCTACACTGTAAAAGAACGCAGGTGCCAGGCAGGAGGGAAGAGAGAAGTAAAGGAAGGCCTCTACAACCCACGCCCTGCTGTGTGGGGCCATGTGGGTCCCTTTGGCTGCAATGACAAGGATGGTGGGTACATGGAGATGACAGTGTACCTCACCCAAGGTGGCTATGGAGAAGAGGACAAGGAAGGAAGAAACTGGAAGGAAAGAGAAGGGAAGGGAGAAGAGGGAGGGATGGGAGGAGTAGAATGAGAGAGAAAGGCAGACATTGTTACTAAAAATATCACTGGGTCTAGAAAAACAATGTTGCAAATTACAATTATCCTTTGATACATTTATCATTAACCAGGCCAGATCCCCTTACTAATGTGAGATAATTCATGGAAGTCATAGAAATTTTAGGCTCAAGGTTAAAACTATAGAAGATGAATAAGAACTATCTTAGCCTTTCCAATTAATAACCTTTCTTGCTGAACTTTTGTGGATAAATTCCTCAGACAATTAGTCCACTGCCTCCATTTTATTTCATAATCCTGCCACATTCTGATTTCTAACCTCATCTGGCTGCTGGAAAATCTCCACCTATGATTTCTAATGACCTTTCTTCTAGGAAAACCCACTTGACTTTTTTTTGGCATTCCTCTGCCTCAACCTTTTGGAAATACATATGGATACCTGAAGCACAGTGTACTGCTTCTGCTTATTAAAGCTGGGATGGGAGGTCTATTTACATGATCTGAGCCCTTCTAAGTGCCAAGTTTTTTGGAAAAGACTCAGGGGTGTGGGTGGGATGGAAGTTTCAAGGACATATGACAATCTTTGACCTGAAAGAGGCACCTACTGTCAGAGACTTCAATTTCCTTATCTGTAAAAGGTGGTGACTAAACCAGTGGGAGAGCTACCGATGACTCTTTGAGCCTCAAAATTACTTTTCTCCTCCCGGACGTCCCTGAGACCATTCTAGCTGGAAGCTCCTTCCACTCTTTCTCTTCTTCCTTCACAACTACTTGTCCTCCTCACCACAGCCCCCCAGCCCTGAGGAAGTTCCTGCTTCTCTTCCTCGGGGCCACTTCCCCCACCCCTCGCCTGCCCCTCAGCCACCCAGCTCACCTTGGTTCTCCTTGGGACAGCCCTGTCCCCTCTGCCCTGACTAGCTGTGGTTCTGTCATTCTCCTGCATGGCCAGCTACTTCCCCCACAGTCCTGCTCAGCACTCACCCCTGGGGGTGCGGGGAGGGGGTCCCTGGTGAATTCCACTGAATTCCTGCCCCCCCACCCACCCAGACTCTCTCCTACCTCTCTTTTACACTTTTACACTTGCTGCTTCCTAAGCAACTTCCCACTGCCTGGTAAAGAGCTACCATCTTTCAAAATTCAGCCCAAATGTCACCCCCTTGGTGAAGTCTTCCCTAATCATGGTTCCCACACACAGGAATCGTCACATTGGAGCCATGGAACCAACTTGTAGGCATCACGGTCTCAGCATTTATTATATTGTGTTGTGAGTGTTTGTGAGTATTTATGTCCCCACTCCTAGCATGACTACTCTAAGAGGGCACTCCACATTTTTCTGCATCTGGGGCCTAACATAAGACCTGATCCTCCCATGAGCAAACAACCTCTGAAACCAGCCACAGTGATAACAGGGCAACACCTATTCCCCCAAGCATGGTACCAGTGTGGCTGAAATATTTGGGTTTCTCTGACACTTCCTGAGCAGCCACAAGTTCCCTGTGCATGAGATTGTGTCCTTAGTGACCAAACCATTGTTCTAAGGAAATTGAGCAGAATCCCTCTCATGTCACAGGCAGCAGCAATTTCAGAAAATCACTTGCTAGAGCTGTGTTTTTGCAAGACAAGGGCCAGCACTCTGCTCATCTGAACATACTGCGGGGTGGTCTGTGCAGGGGTGAGAACAGGAGGTCACCGTGGCTCTGCAGCGAGCTGGTGCACCTGGCCCTCGCTCTGGCAGTTAGGGAACACCTCTGGGGGGGGAGCTGCTTCTTGAAATGCAGAATTTGCCTTGAGATATTACGAAAGAAATGTTTTCTGCTCCATGTAACAGGAGTCAAAGACCTAGAAACAGCTACCATGGATTGATTTAATAATCTCCAGCTATCAATATGGGGGAAAATGTCCGGGACAACATGAGGGAAATAAGATTTTTGTGAAGAGGAATGAACATATATATAATTTTTAACTGACATGTAAAAAGGCTTTGTGGCCACCCTATAGACTCGGGATTTTTTTAAAGAGGTGCTATAACTAAAATGTGCTGTTGCCAGAACTTTCTCACTATACTTCTAAAGAGCTCAGGTTATTAAAATTATTACATACAGACATTAGATATTTCCCTGTACTACAGAGAAATAAAATTATTAGTATGACTGATCTAAAAATAGGCTAATCATAGCTGAGTTGAGATGTATTTTCTACATACTTTGGTTTAACATCTAATTTTCTTTTTTTAAATTCAAGTAATAAGATGTTATTATATGACATACAATCTTGGCATTGTATTATTTGATCAGGATCTGATTTAACATTCTTTTTCTTTGAAAAGTTCTAAATTTAAATGTTTTGGGGAAAATATATATGTGTCGTCCATGTGAAAATTCCACAGTGAAGGTAGCTAAAAGTTAAACCGCGAGCCTGGTGGCAAATGTGAACCTTCTCTCCAGCGTAGCGCGGCTAGAGTTTCAGCTCCCCCAGGACTCAGTCTTGTCATCATTCTTCTGATAGTGAGGACGGAGAAGGTCCCGTATAGCCATAAGAAATACTTCATGCCTTCTCCCATGGTCATCTAAAAGTCATTTTTAATGATCTGAGTACAAATGGAATAGGAAAAATACATATCCTTCTATATTAACACTTAATGAAAATGGAAGTTTATTGAAAATAATTGACAATTATTTGAGTAGGTCACCGCTTCCCAGACCTGAGTCACTCTGGCCAAGGCCTCTGTATAACTCTCTCATTGTTACTCTTGTTCTTAGTCTGTTGATTATACTTCACAAAATTCTTTGAAAATTCTTTCCGTCGAATCCCACACGCCACAGGTGAATATTTCTGAGGTGGCAGCCCGAGGGCTGCTCAAGGTGAGAAAGTAGACAGGTAATGTTCTTGAGTCAGGGCCAGGCGGTCAGTGTTATAGGGACACAGGAGCTGGAGGGTGACCAGGAGCTAGGATGACCCAAGGAGAAAGAGAGAGAGAGGTCCATGTGTTTTTCAGGATCCAAAACATCATTCAGTATTTTAATTTCCTCATCTTTCCTACCTACAGCAGCCCTCATATCCAAAATGCTTCTGGTTTGGGGATACATAACTAACTCTTCATAACTAAACACAAAATGGTCAGGGCTATGGTATTTCCTTTTTAAAAGGCTATCTACACAGCAAAGAACTATGTAGCCATAAAATAGAACAATCGTTAGTTAGTTAGTTAGAAATGGAGAAATCTACAAGATAAAATGTCAAATTAAAAAAAAACAACCCAAGGTGTATGTGATGTGCTATCTTTTGTATCACAGAAAGGGGGAATATGTATGTATATTTGTTTGCATTTGTGAAAAAAACACACACCGAAAGGGTAAGTATCTGTTGGAGGTGATTTCTATAGAGGTACAGGAGAAGGGACTGGAAGCAAGTGAGCATTCTCATGCACACCTTTTAATAATGTTTTGATTTTTGAATCATGTAAAAATATATTTAAGATAAATAAATAAAACTAAAACTGAAAATACTCCATTTGTCTTCCCCAGCAGGTTCCCCCACTCTGGCTCCAGGACCAATCACCAACTGATTTGCACTGGGTAGGGCAGCATTTGGTGGGGTTCAAAAGCTGTGGCCAGATGCTTTGAGACTGGACATCCATTCTCCTTTGCTGCTGGTCCTCCCGTTCTGTGCTGTACCTTGTAGCTGAGACCCAGGCCTCACTTGTCCAGCAGTTTTGCTAACCACATCCTTTCTTGGTATCGACTCCCAGCCACAGAAGCTTGCCTGTTGCCCTCTCCTTCTGAGCCTGGGGCTCTTCTTTGTGTGTACCACTGTATCAGTTTGAGCTTTCCGCCCTCTATTGGGACTGGGAGCTAGTCCCTCAACTCCTGGCTCATTGCTGGGGCCTTGTTACCTGCTGACTTCTGTATTCGATGCTGCTTGTCTGCCTGGATTTCCAAATATCAGCTTTCCACTTATTGCACACCCCCAAGGCCTACTGCTTACCAAAAGTACTACAGTTCACATTAATTGAGTGCTTGCTGTGTGATGGGGCGTGGTGCTAAGGACCCTACATGCATGATCTCATTTGGTCTTCATGAGGATCCTACAAGGTAGGTGGTATCTCTGTTTTACAAATAAGGACACTGAACAATGTGAAGTAAAATAATTTGTATAAGGTTACATGACCAGCAAATGGAAAATCTGGGATTGGACATAGGTGTAGCTCACCCTAATCTAGAAGTCTCCAGCTGGCTCACACTCCAGGGAAGTCCCGTGGCCATAGCCATGCTTTCCAGACCGGGGCGAAGCTGCACTGCTGCCCCTCTCTCCATCATCCGGGCTGGATTTGGTGCTGTAGGTTTGGCCCCAACACAATAGATGCGTCCAATTCCAGGGTTACTGCTGGGCTATTGTACTGTAGCTAGACCTTTCTTGCAAATGCAAACCACAATGTATGATCCATTTCCTTACTTCTTTCAGCTAGGGACTACCAATGATCTGGAATGGGAAATGCTAGCTGTGAAGAACACACATAAAAATATATTTATATTTTATCCCTCCCTCCCTCCCTGCCTCTCTCCCTTTCTGAGTCTTTCCTTCTATATAAGAAAAACTTTAAACATTTTTTCTAAGGCACACAAAAGTTATATCATATAGAAAGAGATGTTTATATTCCACTGAAAGTCCACCATGAGAAACCGTCTTACATATTTTGCTATGCAGGCAATCTTTTGTTCTGTACAGTATTTGTTTTAATATAATTTATTGCAAAGGCTTTCTTAAGGAGGCAGAGACCATGAGGGAAATATTCAGATGATATACTGAGTGGAGTTTGGTATGATATTTCTGGTGAATATTTTCTATTTTACTACCACTTTAGAATTAATTTTTTTAAATCTTTGAGTTTAAAAATATCAGTGCATATATATTGACAAATCATTTAAAGAAGAACATTATTAGAGCCTCAATAATTTAGAAGTAAGGGTCATTTGAATAGGAACAAGGCTAAAGCAAATGTATCAATTAAAAGAGAAGAATTAACAGTCATTACGCACAGACACCCTCTCATCCCCAATGCTTCCCTCAAACACACAGTCACATCCCCACACCCAAAACACAGCCCACATATCCAGATAGACTTGGAAACAAATATTCACACATATAATCAGGAAACTGAGACCATAGACATTTACAAAGGTATCGGCCCAACTATTTCAAGGATACCCGAACTTATCGGTATCTAGTAAATACAAGTATGGAGAGGTAGAGATGGGAATAGGGAATTTTTTTTTCTATTTAGAAGCATATAACAATATATTCTACTTGTTTAGTAAAGGACCTTTCCTAATTGACACCATTTATCATTCCATTTATTGGATTTACCTGAAGAAATAAAAAGACATTAAAAATATTTAGGCTTTAGACTACCTTAGGTTTAGATTCCTTTCCCTCATTTAGTCTGAATTGGTAATGTTTCATTGCAATGCATTCTAATTCTAAAATCAAATATAAAATAAGTTTAAAACTTTAAGTGACCTCTTTTCTTTCTTAGACATAGATATTGTAAGAGTAAAATAATTTCTGAACAATGTGATAATACCCTAATTCAATCTTCATTAAACTTGTTTTCAAAATTGAAATCATTTTATATTTTCAAATAATAAAAGTATCACATAGTCATTGTATAAAATCCAAACATTAAAGGTAAGGCTGTAATAGACAACAAAGTCACCTGTAATCTTACCCAATGGAGAATATTTATTTAAATATGAGTATAATCAAGACTTTTTCTATAACTTCTGGTTCCAGCAACAAGGGACCAATGCAGATACCCTTTTGCAATAAATGCATACATATTTTGGATAAAATATAATAAAGTAAGCTACTAATACACAAATAAATTGTGTTTTTAAAAATTGATAGCTGAGCCAAGACAGAAGAAAGGAAAGTCCTGTGGTAGCTAGAACTCTGAAGTTGGGCTGGTAAAATCGGCACATGGAGGGTGGGAGTTGGGATATAAACCTCTCATGGAGGCAAAAGACATGGCCTTGGGTCCACTCAAGATGAATCTAGAATTAGGGGCCTGAAATAAGAAGAGGCTTTTGCATGGTTGCTTAGTTCAGGACAATGACACTGAAAAAGAACTTCAGCAAGGAAAAAGAATAATATTAGGGGCTTTGAGTATGGAGGAAAATGAAACACCTCTTCTGAGAAATTAAAACCCCAAGCCTGAGCATGGAATCTAATTTTATACCACCTTATAGCATGAGAATTCTCAGCTAATAAACTACCAAAAAAGTTGGACAAGAAAAAACAAATTGAGCCAATGCTCACAAAGATTCTGAGACCCATGAGAACCAAATATACACCCATACTACGGGGTCAAATCCATAATCTAGGGCTCACACGACTACCATAGAAAAGATAGTCACTGTTTAGGATGAGCTCACAATAAAACACTGCTATCATATGAAGAAATGAGGAAGAATCAAAAGGCTCAATAATCAACAAAATCAGTACCCAAAAAGTTACAGATAATTAAACACTCTGAAAGAGACTACAAACATTACTATGTTTAAAATTATTAATGAGGTAAAAGGAGTTGAAATAATGGCAAAAGAATGGAGTAATGGGACAAATTATGTGAGCAGAGGCTAGGTATATTAAAATAGGATCGAATTGGGCTACTATAATGGCAAGATTAATTCATTCAAATTAAAAGCTCAATGAATAGTTAAATCATTATGTAAAACAGTAAACCAAAAAATGGATTTGAGCAAGTCACTCATAATGCAACACAGAAACAACAATATGGAAATATAAAAGAGAGGTCAAGAGACATGGAAGACAGAATGAGAAGTTCCAGTATAACTGTACTTTAACAGGCACTCCAGAAAGACAGTTGGGAAACATTCAAAGAGATAGTGGGGGAAGAGCAATACTGTTACAGTTCACGTATCATATGGCCATTGTATGTAGAAAACCTAAAAATATCCACAGAGAAAGTATTAGAATTAACAAGAGAGTTTAGCCAGATAGAAGCAAAATCAATGTACATTTTTCTGGAAATGTGTATTTTTCTCTTCTAAATTTTCAATTTTATTGGCACAAAGTTAATTAAAAGCATACTCTTATCTTTTTATTCTCTGCTGCATCTGAATGATGACACTCTTGTCACTTTAATAACAATATTTATTTGTGCCTTTTCTCTTTCTCTTGAGTAGTCTCACCAGATTATCTATTATCTACTTTGCTAGACTTTTCAAAGAACAATATTTTGGATTCCTTGAGCCTATCTATTATTTATATGTTTTCTATTTAACTGACTTCTATTTAATTGATCTATTATTTATATGGTGGTTATTTATTTGGTTTCTACTCTTGTCTCTATATTGTTCTTTACCCTACTTCCTTTGTGATTTTTTTTTTCCTGTTGCTCTTTCTTTAAGTTTCAAGTTTGGAAACACAGCTACTTAATTTTCAGCCTTTAAGTATTAAGGCTATAAATTCTCTTAAAGTACCATTTTCCCTCATCCCACAATATAGTGAGTGAGATGAGAGATAAGAACATGTACATATAAAAACAAACAAGGGCAAGATACATAAGGATAATTAGAACTTACATTCATACATCACATCATACACAAAAACCAACTCTAAGTAAATTAATGAGCCATATGTGAAATATAACCCTATAAAAAATTTAGAAGTTAGTATGGGAGAACATTTGTATGACCTCAGGGATACAAACATTTTTTTAGACAGGAAATAAAAATTGAAACCCACAAAGGAAAAATTGATGAATTGAGCAACATTAAAAATAACAACATTCATTTATCAAAAGACACATAATGAGAATGAAATGACCAGCCAAAGATTAGAGAAGATATTTGCTAAATATATAATTGTCAAAGGATTAGCATCCTGAACATGTAAAGAATTCTTACAAATCAATAAAAAAGACAAATCAGTTTTTACAAAGGGTCAAATGAATTACACAAGTATTTTATGGAAAAGATAACATAAGTGGCCATAGATATACAAGATGCCACTCAATCTCATTAGCCATCAGGAAAACACAAATTAATTCTGCTATGAGTACTGTTACATACCCATGAAACTGGCAGAAAGGGAAACCTGACCCTGTCATCCATTGGCCGGGATGTGAAGCACAACAATCTCCCACATACTGCCGATGGGAGTGTAAATCAGTGCAATCACTTTGGAGACCAATTCTGCAATGTAAAGACGTCCATACTCTATGACCTGGCAATTCCACTCCTAGGTGCAAACTCCAGAGAAACTACCCTGTTCCAGGAGGCATTTATGAAAATGCTTAAAGCAGCATTACTCTTACTAATAGAAAACTAGAAGCAAATCAATGTCCATTGACAATAGAATGAATAAAATACAGGTGATGGAACACCATGTAAAATGAGTATGAATAAATTATAGCTGTGCCCAACCACACAGGAGAATGTCAGGAACAAAATTTTGAGTGGAGAAAACAAATTGAAGGAGAACATGTCCAGTGACATACAGTATGTTATGCATATATGCATAACAATATATTTTCTTTGTGAAACTACAAAGTAAATAGAGGAATGATAAATATCAAGTTTAGAATTATGGTCTTCCACAGTGAAAACAGGTGGGACTGGGGAGGAGCTCAGAGGAATTTGAAAGTAATGATATTGCTCTGTTTGCTCTTTTCCTGCACTCCATGGTGAGAGCATAGGTGTTGTACCATTATCCTTTTTGTTTTTTCCCATTAGTCTTTATACCTTACGTATTTTTAAAATATTGTTTTGTATCTTCTCAGTATTTATTAAAAACAATTTACAAAATAGAATGCTAAAGAATGATACTTTTCCAGGATTGAAAAAGGATATGAATCCTTGGACTGGAGAAGTACACTGAGGGCCTCACAGGTTAAATAAAAACAAATTCAAACCTAGTTCAGTGAGAGTGAAACTGTAGAGCACAAAAGACAGAGAAAAGATAGATTACCCTCAAAGAAAAAAGTCCAATTGTCAACAACAGTGACACATCCCAGAAGTGAAGTAACAACTCTAAGCGCTGAAAGGGGGGAAAAAACCTGGACAGAATTCTTTACCCAGCTGTTCCATTCAAAGCACAGGCTAAATGGTGGCCCTATCAGAGTTTACCATTAACAGATCTTCACTAGAAGAACTACGAAAAAACATACAGTCATACATCGCTTAACACTGGGGATATGTTCTGAGAAATGTGTCGTTAGGCGGTTTTGTCCTTGGGCAAACACTCTAGCGTGTACTTACACAAACCTACACTGTGTAGCCTACTACATATCTGAGCTATTTGGTATAGCCTACTGCTCCTAGGCTACAGACCTGTATGGAATGTCACTGTGCCAAATACTGTAGGCAACTGCAATGCAATGGTATTTGTGTATCTAAACATATCTAAGCATAGAAAAGGTACAGAAGAAATATGATATAAAAGATAAAAAATGGTATACCTGTAGAAGGCACTTCCCAGGAATGGAGCTTGCAGGACTGGAAGTTGCTCTGGGCGAGTCAGTGAGTGAGTGGAGACTGAATGTGAAGGCCCAGGACATCACTGTGTACTACTGTAGGCTTTATAAACAGTGGACACCTAGCCTACACTGAATTTATAAAAAGTTTCTTTCTTTCTTCAATAATAAATTAACCTTAGCTTACCATTACAGTTTTACTTTATAAACTTTTTAATTTTTTAAAACTTTTTGACTCTTTTGTAATAACACTTACCTTAAGAAACACATTGTACATCTGTACAAAAATATTCTTTCTTTATATCCTTATTCTATGAGCTTTTCTCTATTTAATTTTTTTTTTACTTTTAAACATTTTCATTAAAAACTAACACACAAACACACCAGGCCTACACAGGGTCAGGATCATCAATATCACTGTCTTCCACCTCCACATCTTGCCCCACCGGAAGGTCTTCAGGGGTAATAACACATAAGGAGCTATCATCTCCTATGACAACAATGCCTTCTTCTGAATACCTGCCTGAGGCTGTTTTACAGCCAGCTCTTTTTAATAAGTAGAAGGAGTACTCTCTAAAATAATGATAAGTATAGCATAGTTAATACATAAGCCAGTTACATAGTCATTTGTCGTTATCAAATATTATATATGACATATAATTGTGTTACATGTTTAGATGGCCAGCTGGGCAATAGGTTTGTTCACACCAATATCACCACAAACAGTTGAGTAATGCATTGTGTCATGACATTACAACAGCTAAGATATCACTAGGCAATGGGCATTTTTCAGCTCTATTACAATCTTATGGAACCATTGTCATATACGAAGTCCATTGTTGACCAAAATGTCATTATGTGGTGCATGACTACATTGGTCAAGAAGGAAAATGGACCCAGGAGAAAGATGGCAAAAACAAGAACAGGTAAGCAAAGGATTCAGCAAATGTTTTTGAAAAACCAAAAAAAAAACAGGGGTGGGCTCAAATTTTGTGGGATCGAAAGCTTTAAAAATTTGGGGAAACTTTTCCAAGAAAAGAATACTGAATTATTAATAGAAAATTAGGTTCAAATGTTTAGATTTACTTTGAATGAGAATAAAAATCACAACAAATAAAAATTTAAATTATAGTTAAATGCTTCAAAACCTAACAAATTCCAGGAATATATTACAATCTTTAATTATTTAATTATAATCAATATGCCTCCTCCATAATACATTTTAATCCCTACATTTTTTGGCCATTATGCTTTGATTACCTCTTAATGTGACAATGACTTTTAAATATTGTCTTATATAAAGAAAGTATAAAGATAAATCTGTCTTCCAAGGACAAATGAGTCTTCTAACACAGTCAAAATTAATTTATTTTTTGAGACAAGTTCTCCCTTTGTTGCCCAGGCTAGAGTATCGTCACTATTCACAGGCATGATCATAGTGCACTACAGCCTGAACTCCAAGTCTCAAGCAATCCTCCTGTCTCAGCCTCCTCAGTAGCAAAATGTATTGTTGATGTTGTTGTTTTTTAATCAATCATAGCTGAGAAAAGCTTATTTTAGCTTCACTATTTGTTACCGGTCTACAGATAAATCCAGCCCCTTGATCTCACTATCATAGCAAACTGATCAAGGACATCCGGGTTCCTACACTCAGTATCCCTCTATCCCCTACCTTGCCACGGCTGTTCTCAGCAGTGTGGAGTGCCAAAGTGACCCTGAAGCCAAGTCATGTGGCCCTGGGGCTAGGAATAGAGCAGTGTCCCAGATTCTTCTCCCTGGGGAAGGTGCTGATTTCCATGGGGTCCACCAGGTGCAGATTGTCACTGGGGACTGGTACGTAAAGCCCTATACCTGCCTGCAGCTCTAGGACTACTGCTAGGGTGAAAGAGTGACCTCCAAGCTGGCAGAACTGCATTCCTCTAACTCTCCTGGGGCTACTTCTTCCTCCTGGACCTTGGGAGTGTCCTTCCAAGTTAGGGTCCCTGAAGCTGAAATATTGGCTCTATGGTAAATTGAATTTTTGCAGGGACTACAGAAAACAATATTAACAATAGCAGCAATAATAGTAATAATTGTTAGAGGAACAATTATTTCCCACTCATATGTCCACAGAAAGGAGAGAAATTCTCCATTTTCCCCAAGTAATAATATAAGAACATGTTTAATTTCTCTCTGTTCCCATAGTCATTCCTCCACAGGCAGGAGGATTGAAAAGTTTGGGAGGAAGACCTCAACATGCTTGGCTTAACTGCTGTTGTTTTCTCTCCTTCAGATCTGCCTGCCCCCAGAGAAGGCACATTCTTATCTGCTTGTGTTCAGGTGGTAAACAAACAGCTTTACTGGGGACACTTGCTGTTGTCCCACTGTGCCAGCAGGGGCTAGTCCACCTAATTCAGGAATAAAGTATCAGCAAGCCCATCTGGCCACAGATCTGAAATCTCTTTCTCCAATCAGCATTATTTGAAATAAAACTAATACAATATTTTGATTTTCAAGTCTCTTATTCTTGCCTCTTTCCACCCTTCTTTCTCCATATTGATTCTGAATTCAAAAGAAGAATAGAAGTACTGTGTGTGGGATACCCTGTAACCCTAATAAGAAAGGCTAATTTGGGGAGATTTTTAAAGACTACTGAAACTAATAAATTAGACAATGATGACATGGGAAGAGAGAGGATAGAGCTATTGTTTAACTTTAGTGTTTTTTAAAATCAAATGTGGCATATTCAAAATTTAAGGCTAACCCCTAAAAGGGATAAAATACATATCTTCCAAAACACTGAAGGAGAAAAACAGGGGATAAACTTAAGCAATCTAGTAGAAAGCATGAAAAAGAAAACCTCAATTTAAAAAGATGTGGTAAATAGAAAATATAAAGTAAGATGGTAGAAATAAATCCAATATCAGTAATCCTAATAAATGCAAACATTAAATTCACCTGTTACAAATCAGAGATTATCTAAATTGAAATACAAATTTTATCCATTCTTCAAAAGCATCAAACACAATGATCCTTAACATTTGAAGTAAACTTATGGAAAAATATTCCAGGTAAATACTAAACAAATAAAGTTGGTAATGCAACATTAATTATATGAAATAGAATTTAAGGCAATAATATTAGGTATAAAGAGGATCATTAGTTAATAATAAAAAGAACAATTACCAGAAAATATAATAATCCTGAACTTGCATGCACCCAACAACATAGCCTCAAAAATACATAAAGACAAACAGTATAGTAGAAATTATTAAATCTCATAATCACAGTAGATATTATTAACACATCTCTCAGAAACTAATAAAGCAAGCCAATAAATAATTAAAAAGCATAAAATGTCTTGAACACAATAAGTTCTTTCTAACGGACATATACAGAGTCCTGCCCCAAATAATTAGAGAAAAAAAATAATTAAGAGTCACCACAATCTAGCCACAACAAATGCATCAATAAATACCAAAGTATCTATTTCATATAGATCACATTTCATATCACAATGCAATATAGTCAGAGATTTAAAAATCAAAATTATATTTAGAAATTTCTATCATTTTAGAAATTGAAAAGCACTTCAAGATAGAGATATTATCAAGAGTCTGAGATATTATCAGACCCTAGAAATTAACTAGGTCATGAAGGCTCTTGTGTATGATAATCATTTGGGTGAGAATGAGAAATTTGTAAAAGCAGCCTTTGCCTTCAGTGTGCTTACATTCTACCAAAAATAATTAAGACTGCGTTGAGTTGACATAAACTCTTCAGAAGTAAGCAGAAATTAAATTCTACACCACTAAAAATACACTGCTCTGTACTTGAATTCTGCAAAGTTGGCTGGAAGGACAAGTGGCGATAAGAGCAGAATGGGATTGCTGTGGAGGGACAATTAGAGGGTGCAAGGTAATGCAGATGGCATAAGTAGCAACTGGGCTCTAGAAAGCACATTATGAGGCAAATTTGTGTGTGCTCTAGGCTAGCAAAGATAATACGAATAATTTTTAGAAAGAAGAATTAGGGACAAGAGCACCAATTATTAGAAATCCTTTCAACGTGAATCAGCAATGTAGGTTTTATGTGAGCAAAAATTTGGACCTATTATAGTTTTCGAAAATGGATCTGAAATCAAAATGCTGCTTAAGAAAGGTAATTCTTGTAGCAATGAGCAGACACATTTGGAGTAAGGAGGTAATTAATAGTCTGTTTAGGGAACGGGTGCATTAATTTATTTTGGAATTTCTTCACTCAATACTTTTTATAGACTATTACTCACTATGTGCCTAGCATTGTGTTAGCATTAAAATGTCTTTGCATCTAAAATCTGTTTTTACAAGGCTTTCATGACAGATGTCTAACGACACCACTTATAAAGACGGAGCCATTCCCCGGGTACTTCTGCACTTTGTTCAACAGAAATTTCACTGCCCAAGCGGATGCGTGATTGATGTTATTCAATGATTAATGCAGCAAACTCCCTACTTTACCCTCTGCAGCAGAAATCTCCATTTAAGCCCTTGGGATATGTAAGTGCCTCATTTCTTAAGAAACTACAGTGAGATTAGGGAGAAAGGAAGGCTTCACAAAGCAATTAGGAAGAGGGCAGTTTAATCCATCCTTCTCCTTATTGAAAAGCAGCATTAACCAAGGTACTGCCTACTAAAATAAACTTTAATCTACCAAGGACTTTGCAAGAAAATTTGATCAAATAGAAAAATAAGAGGAATAAATAAAAATAGCTATTAGGACAACTTATTTCTCTCCTCCTGTTTTGTTTTGTTTCTTCCAGTGCAATGAATCTGAGCAGAAAATCTCATTGAAATAAGCATTCCTATGTGTATCACACAGTTGCTTTTTAGTCTGCAAAAACCACTCTCCTGTAGCATGAATATTTTATTTTTTTTCCTCAAAATATAACTGACATCTACATGATGTGAAGCAAAATACTTTTGGTTCATGTTGTTGCTGCCATTTAGAATCGGAAAAGTCATTTGGAAACGGATCTTCGCTACAAAAGAGAGCTTCAAAATATTGACTTCATTTTGTGCAGTTCGTTCCTCTCTGCCTTCCCTTGCTTGTAATTAATGGCTGCTAAGTGAGACAGTGTGAGAGGAGATAAAAAAGTGCTGCATGTGGGTGTAGGGTTTTTATAAAAGCACATTTAACTTTTTTTGTTTTTAAAGCCCACTACGGCCCTCAGAGCCAGTGACGCCAATTTCCTTAAGCATCATTTCTGACCTCGGAGGCACCTTTCTCTCTTTAGTCAAGTATTAAAAACGAGCCTCTCCACCAGGGATGCCACAAGAGAGAAAAGAAAAAAGGGGATTGATAATAGTCCCACTCTTGTTCCTGTTCTTAGAAAGAGCACATATGTCGTGGTTCCCAGAAGATTGAGAAACACGGAAACATCAAATATTGAATCTAGGTAAAAATGACTTTCGATATTAGCTATAAATTACAGAAAAATAACACATGCTCATGGCAACAAACAAACAAAGAAATAAAATAGGACAACAAAATCAAAAAGAAAGAAAGTAAAGAAAAGAAATGGTATAGAATAAAATAATGTACGAAGCAAAAGAACTCACTCTTCTATTTCCTGGTAAAACCTACATAATCCATTTATTTTAGACAAACAGGATCACATTATATATTATTCTTTAACTCGCATTTTTTGCACAAAACAATTTGTCTTGCACATCTTTCTCTACCAGCACATATAGCTCTAGTTCTTTCTTTTAAGGAAGGAACATCTGTGCTTACGAGCACAGATGCCCCGTGACACAGAAGAGACCCAGGTCCTTACTGATGGACCCTCAGCTGGCATTTGGCTATTTACATGCAATGTGGTGATGCTTATTCTTGTTCACATGTGTGAAAAAAACTACAGGATCACCTTCGAAATGGAACCGGAAGATCAAATAATGTGTTATTTAAATTTAAAAGTAAAATTTTATGTTAAAGTTTAATACATTCTGCCAAACTGCTCTCTAAAAAGGCTGTATCAATTTACACTCCTAGTGACGGCACCTGAGAGGGCAGATTTCCAACTCACAACATATGTTTTCATCACTGGCAATATGAGAGAGGAAAATTTGTTTCTCAATTTTAGAAATTGTCATTTCTTCCATTACAAATGAGATTGAACTTTGTATATGTTTATCAGTCAGCCTTCTATCCCTGCAAGCAAAACTATTTATCTATTATTTTTAAATTGACTTGTTTACCTTTCTATTACTGTGCAAAAAACATTTGGATATTAACGAAATTAACACCTTGTCATATGTATAAAAAATTTTTTCTAAGAATGTGTAATAAATATTCTACTTAAAATAATATTCCTAGTTTTACCAGTAGACCCCGTAACCAGGATGAATTTGATTTAAAATCCTTTCTATTTAAATCTCTCATTAGGGAAACTGGATTTAATCAATTTTCCAAAGAAAGTGCATTCTTCTATTTGATTTAATCTTAAGATAGTTGTTTGATGTAACTTTAACACAGGGTCATTACCTCCAAGATAGATTTAAATTCAGAAAGAGAAAAAAAATGGGGAAAGAACAATGAAAAGCCAAAGAATAATGATGACCATCTTCATGTCTCATGAAAACCTTTAGAATAAAATAAATTAAAAATACAGGGCATAGAACATTCATGAGGATTTCAAGCTTTGCTGAGAACTTTGTCTTTAATTACTTTGCCAGATTTTTTCTTTATCATTTCTACTGCAATGTCTTCTTTGGAGGACATATTCCAGATTCTCTCTCTTTATTGAGACCCTCTTTTCCAAATTATCTCACATACCTTTTGAAATTTTATATTTCTTGAGGGGACTAAGGCTTGACTTAAAAGTTAATCACTGTTAGTTAGAGTCCATACAAAATTTTACAGAAAGGTCATTGCCAACGGTTCAGATTGCTGGGCACACAGTCTGTCAGTAGCTGTTTTTTTAACCTCCCTTGACTTAACTGATGCTTACCAAAGTGCTATCTCTGAAATATTTTGAGTTAGAAAATTACTAACAATAATGCTGGGTGAGGTAGTCTAAATACTAAATGCTGGTTTATGTCAAATGAAATTATTTAATTCTTCTAAATCTCTGACAATCACATAATTTATGTGATTGTATGTAATTTATGTGATGTGTAAATCTATGATTTAACCCTTAAAATTCTAAGAACTTAGGATTCTAGGATTTTATGTGGAAGTAACTTTTTAACTATGTTTGCAAACCATTGTTTTAGGCTCTAAATTGTTTTAGACGCTCAATGGTTTGATTTTTTAAAACCATTAATTAGCTAATTAGTTGACTAACTTAAGAAATAAATAATTCCTCAAACTAAAGGGGCCATACAATCGCAGTCACAGCAATAAAGTGACTAAATTAAAACCTAATATAATTAAAGTAAGACAAAGAAAGTAATACATTGTTAGGCTCACATTTTTAGTTTATTTTAAAATATAAGTGAAGTAATGCTATTTAAAACATTTAATATTTCAAAGTGTATTTATTATAAAGTATTATGTTATTTTATTAATATTTATTTTTCCTTTTTGTTTGTTTGGGGGAGGGAGATCTATGCATTTTGTTTTTGGTTTTGACTAAGTAGAGGAAAAAAGAGTAGACATATCAGAAGATAGGCAAACTTTTAGTCCAAGGATTATCTGGAGGTGATAACATATGCAGATCTTTTCATTCATTAAAAAAATATGTGTTGGCCATCTCTTAAAATTAATTTGCATAAGAAATGAATTAAAAAGTGTCATTTGCTTATAGTCCCAGCTACTTGGGAGGCTGAGGTGGGTAGATTGCTTGAGCCTAGGAGTTGGAAACCAGCCTGGGCAACATAGCAAGACCCAGTCTACCTGACACCCCCCCCCCAAAAAAAAGAATAAAACAGTAAAATTGTTTTTAAAAAGCATGTGAAATCTGAGTAAAGGAATTTGGGGACTTTCTAAAAGACTTAGAGATCCACTGAATTTGGAAATTGCTCAGAAGCCCCAAATCCAAGGAGATTTAACCTTCAAGTTTCTGTTTAACCTAAATAAAGTCAAATTTTAGTCAAGGTATATGAACAGTTTAGGAATATAACCAATCTGTTATTAGATTATTATATTTCTTTAATAATTACTCTATTTTACATTTTAATGTATTTATTAGGCAAAGATGCTTTTGGGGGGAATGTCACTACTGGTAGTTTAATAACAAATTTAATTTTATATACGTAGGATAATTCTTGGTGGTTGTAGCCCTCATTGCTCCTGAGGATAAAATCTTATAGCCGGCAGTCCTCAATTTACTGGGTGCAGGGATAAGATAAGAAGTCTGGGCTCAGTGACTGAATTACTCTGCTTAATAGTGCCGAGGTGAAGGGCAGATGGCAAGTAAATCCACCGTGGTGCGAATCCTGGAGGAAGGAGTGTGGAGGAGTCTGCAGTTGAGGCTGTGCTGAAGTGTTGAGGTCACATGATTCTTGACTGCTGGGGACCAGGTGGGGAGGGATGGGGAAGCGACATGCAGTGGGACTTTGGGGTGAAAGTTCACATAATGTGGGATGTA